CTTCTTTGTTTTGGTACAATGCTTTGAAAAAGTAAAAGAAAGGAATATTTTGTTTTACATTACACCATTCATCAGAGCCAGAAACTGTGAAAACAGAAAGAATCGTTACATTTTTAACTTTTCAAAGGACTTTAAAATCATCTGTGATGTACAGTTTTGTCAAAATTATCAAGAGCTAAGCCTAAAATCATGATATTCAATCATATTCATGTCTCGTTTAAAAATTTGCTAAAAATGAACTGTTTGTACCAGAATCTGTTAAAAACAAACTGAGAAACTGTGACTGAAACAGTTCTGACACAATAGTCACATGAAAAAAATATGTTGTGAACTGCAGGTTGTGTTCTCACAGAGTAGAGTCAAGACAAATATAGAAAAAATAAATAAATCAGATTCAGAGCAAAATAAGCAACAAAATAAATGCTGTGTTGCTCAAAAGCTGTATGCAAAAGAGGAAAATGTGAACAAGTTGTTGGAAGATACATTCGGTATGGCGAAACATCTTTTTGTAGAGTGGAAAACACCTACTTTATAGCACTGGGTCATGTGGAATTTTTTTTTTGAACAACTATTTCTGTATTTTATTTCTTTTGTTTTTTCTTGTCTTGTCTACACCAAAATGAAGACTCAGAGTCAATTCTTGAGGTTGATGCATCCATGTATTATAAAGGATTTTCATATTTTTTAAAAAATAATTAAAAAAATAAATCATTCATTACGTTGGGGCTGTACTCAGTTGAGTCTCTGCTTTCAGCTCATTGTTTTATCATGAATATATTAGGTCATTAGGTATTCAGACAGTTTGATAAGCTGCTTTTATTTAGATTTAGTCTTCTGTTTTTTATTGCATTATTATTCATTACACATCACTTTGTGTATTGTCTAACCTCGCACAAATGACAAACATCAATTCTACAGTGGCTCTCTCCGTCACTGTAGTGGGTACGTCAGAATGAAGCTGTGAGGAACATTAACTGTCTGGATGACAGAGTGCCATCACTTTAACAGACTGATGAAGCCAGCAATGTTACATAACGGTGTCAGATCTTTCTAAAGTGAACCAAGCATGCCTACAGTGCAAAACCCTCTGAGCCAGCCTGACACCTTTTCCATGCAAACTAGGTATGAATCATTCTACTTGTCGGCGTCTGACCTGTTCTGACAGAGGAAATCCACCAGCGCCAGGGAGCTTCTTTCCTCCAGACGCACAGCAAGATGAAGAGCTGTCTCTTTGATCCCCTTAAACAGGAAAAAAGTGGACAAATGAGGCCAACTTGTTGACCCTTAAAGAGATATTCCATCTGTACCAAAGAGTTTTACCTTAAGAATGAATTTACAGTCAGTCAGCGACAGCTTTCTAACCACTGAAGCTTATGTCACAGGCTGATTGTTTTGTGCATGTGTGTTAAAAAGTGAAATCATTCCTAAAGCTTTCAGCACTACGTCTTTATGCAAAGGGAAAAAGGAGGGGCAGAAGAAAGAGAGAAGTGCCTGCTTAATTCAATGAGTTCGTTCTCGAGAGACATGAGCTCTGACCTAAAAGCTGAAATAATAAATGAGACCCAACCAAGACAAACAAACAAGCTCGCACACACAGCGAAGTCGGCTGAAAGAGACAGCAGAGGAGGGGAAAACAAGATGAGAGGATGAGGAGAGAAAATGAGAGGGAAAGATTGGATTAGAGGCCAAAAGAGATGGGAGGGCCTGCAACTCCCCTCACACAGGAACCACGCACACCATCGAGTAGACATCACAAACTGGAACTATTCACACACCTCCTGCACACAGCATTTTGTGACATTTTCTATAATAATCAGCCATATTTTTATTTATTTATAGTAATTTCAGCCTCACTTCTAAAGGAGCAAGTTGATGACTTTCTCACGCATCGCATGAATGTGTGTGGAGCTTTAGACACACTGGGTGGGCGGCCTTGTCAGGATTTAGCCCTCATTCAGGCTAAATGCATGACATCTGTGGGAATGCTAAGAGTTTATGTTTGTCATGGGGAGATTATGGGTTTAATTACAAGCAGTCCCATCCTAACAGGGCACATTTCAAGAACCGGTGTGCGAAATCCACTGAAGTTATCGTCACCTGTCCTTCGGGGATCGTGACTGGTTTGGTCAGGTCTGCTCCCTCAGCATAGAGCTGCAGAAGGAAAGTGATGTCGCGGCTCCTCACGGCATCATACAGCCGGCCTGGATTTGATTCTTCTCTATGTAGGACGTACCGACGTTCAGCGTACTTTGCCACTATGTACTCCTTCCTGGCATTCCTGGTGGTTTAAGAAATATGTTTCAATGAGAAAAAATACTCAAAGAAGCATCTAAATAATAATTTATCTTATAGAATGTGTTTATATCATCAAAGCGATATTAATTTATAATATTCATTTGCCTTTTAAAAAATTACCACGATGAAAAGAAATCAAGGACTCACATGTCACTTTGTGGCAACGGTTTGACAGAGTCATTCGGCAGGCCTGCTTCCATGATGTCATTGAATCTGGTGTTTCCAATGCTGACCGCCAACTGGAGCGACACACAATGCAACCACAAACATGTGACATGAAGGAATTTCAATGAAAAGCAGACGCTTATGTAATGTCTGTATTTAGGAAATCCTGACAACAGAAAATCCACTGGGACTGCGTTGGTTTTTGTGTGTATTTTGTTGTGTATTTCCATGTGTGTATTTAGTACCAGTAGCTCAGAGGTGCTCAACAGGTCAAGAGTAAGAGACTGGATCCTGGAGTAGTGGACACCCAACTCTCTGTGGATGCCAGAGCACTCGATACAGGTCAGGATGCCCAGATTGGTCGATAGCCATGTTGGATCTGTGGTGTACAGAGCAAAAAAAAAGTCAGACTGTCAACTTGAAATGATAAATGCTGGTGATTATGAATTATGGTCCTAAAATAAATAAACCTAGTAAAAAAAAAAAAAAGTGTAACATCCTGATGCCAATTAATTCAGGTGGCTGACCTGGAGCTCCACAGTCTGCACAGGCCTCGTTGCCGGGCATGTGTCGAAGCTCAGCAATGATGGCACGGGAGAGTTCCTGGAGCCCGCTGTCCTGGAGGTGAAGCTGGTCTCCTCCCAAAGCTGTGTTCAAGGCTTCCTCTTTACTATTTTGCAGCACTGACACCCAACTACAAGACAGGCACACATACATAAAGGACGCTGTTGTCCAACTTCTACGTTTTGCACTCAGAGTGAGCTGCAGAGACGGCATGAGAAAGCAGATGACTTTCTTTGCAAAAAAACAAAACAAACAGAAAACAAAAAAGTCCTTTCTTTCGCAAAACAATCTGAAGAGCTAAACCATGTGTTTTGCATGTGGTTTTTGCTCAGTTGTCCAGTGATAAGTCATCATCCCTCTCGCACTCTCAGATTCACTACCATCTCGACTCAGACTGAATCTCACATCTTTCGTTTCTGACAAAACTCACATTGCACATAACATCAAAGAATCTGCCCGAGGGCCCACACACAGAAGGGAAGGGCAGGGACCAGAAAAGCCTGCATGCACCCCCCCATCCAAAACCACACCAGAACACATAAAGTTCTCTTGCTTGCCGTCTGTAGCTAGAAAGAAAGTTCCACCCAGAACCAGCTGGGCCGGGGGAGGGGCTCTGAGAGGATAGCCTTTTCTTTCTGCATCCATTAGTTTCTTTTCTCTTTTTATTCACTTTCAACTTTGCCTGCAGACACCATCAAATTATAGTGATTTCCTATTTTACGTAAACATTTTCAACTTTTCCTTTTTAGTACAACTTTCTTCTTTCTGAGAGCAATCTTGGTTGTTTTTGTATGAGCATAGCAGGGCTTCTTTTCTATGCAGGCTTTACCGAAAATACAAGGGTCTCGACATGCAACAACTTGTCTTTGAATAGAGAAAACACATGAGTTAAAGAAGGGAATAATGCCAATGCTTACATCAAACATTCCTGCTCATCTTCTGCTTGGAAGTGATATGTCCGGTTATCTGCAAAGAAGGAAAAAAAATTACATGGTGTTGGCATTAAAAGACAACAGGATGTTGGAAATACAGTTTACATGACTAAACATGGCATATAATAGGCATGAAGCTTAACACAATCATCCTCGTTTCCTCCACTTCAACTGTTTACATTATTCACAAGGAATGTCTGGCGTTGATGCCAAAGTAAAATGTCTCAGATTCTAATTTCTACCAATGTGGGGAGGCAAGAGGCAAGATTCCACACAGCTGCACTGCAGATGACTCTTAGGAGACTTTAAGGACGATATGTCGAGGAGAAAGTTTAACGGTCAAAAGTTAAAAATGAACCTACGAGTGACCAGGTCAAAGGTCCTCCTGTCCTCTGGGTTAGGTCGCACCTGACAGGTCAGAAGGTTCAGCTTGGCTGGTGGTCGATTGATCTGAAGACAAATACGTTTATGTCAGCATGCATGGGAGAATTTTTCTGGAATTCAATTGACAAATGTAGTTTTATCTGGATTTCTGCTGAAAGCCGTGTGCCGATGTGGCATGCATCTGTTTAAAAGCACAGTATCGGTCCTCACCGTACTGTGGGAAATAGTCAGGCAGCCAAATTTGACTCCGCACTTTCTCTTCTGCCAAACCTTCCTGATCCTGCAAGATGACATGTCAACAAAGAAAAAAGAAAAACAGATATTTTTTTACATGTTACTGATGTAAAATTATCTACTGGGGTAATCTGAGTGCTGCACATTAAGTAAAAACAGTGCTAACAGACACTCTTGGTTTGAGTAACGATGATCTAAACGATGTTGGCCTATTTCATTGCTGTTCACAGTGCTTCACTCCATTTTTCATCGTCTTGATTCAATCAGGTAAAATGCCTGGCAGATCGTTATCTGGTTTGCATCAGTGGCCTGAGGAAAGTTTACTCTCCTCCTGTCTCCCATTCACCCTACTGAACCACATCCCCTTATCATACAGTCATCTAACTCCATGTGTTTGTGTGCATGACGCAAAAGTTGGATCTGCTCAGTTGGCCCGTCTGCCAATAAGTTCCACAGGAGGGGTCCCTGCTTGAGTCTTCATCTCATAATAATGAAGACCAGCTGGGGCAGACAAAGTTTAAGTTTCTCTCTGTGTTGCTTAATCTTCTTCACCCGGCTCTAACAGTGTTAGTAAGCAGAGTTTATCACTTTGGGAACGTTAAAAAATGAATGATCAAGTGTTGCGGTGACAAAAATCTCTCAGACAACACATAAACTAAAGAGTTTACAGCAGATTTTACAGTTTACATGCATTTTATTGATCAACTATTACTAAACAGCATGAAACACACACATCTTCTCATCTTGTGTTCAATGTTTTTTAAATTCTAATACAACAGTTGTGTCACTCCTGCTTGCTAACATCAGATATTTGAGACTAATCTTTTTACACACCCATCGCTCTTCTTGAGCAGGAAGCCAGACTTCTCTGTCCCATACTTCTTGTTTCCCTGTGGTTGGTGGATGCTGTAACCGTTGCCAGAGTTTTTCCTGTTCAGGTACTCCTGGGACACAAACGGGGGATTTAGGACTTCACTACAAAGGCTTCATGATCATGAAAATTTAAAACAATACAAACCTATTGTGGCGGGAGAAAAAACATCTGATGAGTTAGAAATCAAAGCCATCTGCTGCTCATTTTGTTTTGAAAATCTACAGCAAGCAGGATACTTGGATACATGCAAAGAGTATAATAATGATAAATGACAAATACACATACTTCTTTCCCCTCCACTTGCAGAAGTAATCTGAGAGAATCCCTCAACTGAGTGAGTTGTTTTACTTCCTCGTCCTGGTCCACACGCACCTACAACACACACCATAAAAATATTTGTACTCAATTACAACAATAAATATATAATTACTTAGAAGTGGGTGGGGGGTGGGGGACGGAAACCGGCAACCTTCTTGCTGCGAGGCAACGATGCTAACCGCCGCGCCACCTTGCAGCCCCATAATCAGCCACTTTAACTGAAATATTTCAGCACGATTTCCTCAGAACTTTACCAGAGATTCTATCTTAATTTCCTTCTCGATGCTAAGGTCTGGCATGTCTGAGCGGGCCTGTGTTCTGCCCATAAAGAACCAGAAAAACCTCTAACGTTCCCAGCATCACAGTTAACAGTCTGCTTCCAGCACTCTGCCCAGAAAAAGGGAAGAAGGCAAATTTTGTGTAAACTGGAAACCAGTCAGTGGTTGGAGAAGTAGGTGTGCACGAAGGAAGGAATGAAAATGAGGGACACTTTCAGTTTTGGGGACTAGACTCCAATAACAGTCTCTGCCTGTGGGTTCAGCTGGGGGGGGGGGCTAATGTTTTGGCTGTTGCGAAAGAGTAACAGGGACAAAGAGCTGCAAAGAGAAGGTACTGACAGATGAGAGAGGACTTTCTTGTAAACATGGTTTTACCTCTTCAAGAGATGAAAGAAAATGTGTGTGGAAAAAGAGTAAGCATGTGTGAGGCTGGATCAGTTGCGGGTATGATACCATCAATTTGTATGGTATGTGCATGCGTGGGCATTTTGTGACAACATCAATTTGAGTCAGGCCACACATTTTGACAAATATTCTTCTCAAATCATAGCAAAGCTGAGTAAAAACCCCACCATTTGATGACTAACAGTTAGTGCAGGTAAACAGACAAACCCGCAGCAGTTGCCGTACTTACCGTGTGAATGGAAGAAGCGAGCTTCTCGATGAAGGGAGCGAGGTTCTCCGCAGCTTTCAGCCCATCCTGGAAGAAACTGAGATCAGAGAAGCAACAAATGCTGAGTCTTAACAGGAGGTCAAACATCCAGCCAAACCATCACATGCTGAAGCTGTATAAGCAGCTCCATTCCCACATAAAGCCTTCGGTATGAATAAAACGGGTAAATGGTTAACAAAACATAACAATAGCTTGTAAATGGAAGCCAAAACCAAAGTGCCTCAAATATTGTGTAAAATGACTCACAGGAACCATAGGTGGAGATTAAATCCATGTTTTTTCACCAAAGTAAAAGTCAAAGTCTTTGGTTTTTATTCTTATTTCACACCTGGCACAAAATGGCTACGAGACAATCGAGGTAGTGTTGGCTGAGACTGACCTGAGCTGGGCTTGGAAATATTTGATGAGGTTCTGGAGAAGATCAGGGCCCTGACGCACCTTCAGCTCCTGGATCTTTAAAAGGTACTGAAAGCATAAACACAGACAGTGGGAAACAGCTGCAAAACATAAAATAATGGGTCCACAAAACATAAAGCCTGAGGGGAAAATCACTGATGAGAGCCCCGTTTTTCAGGACTTACAATTGAAATGTTTATCATAGATCATATCTTTATTATCATGTTTGGCAGCATGTTTTTAGTGTGTGGCTTTGACTTTATGTCATTTCAAAGGTCATGTGTGTCGTCACAACACTTTAGGGAGTCAATGAACCTTGTAGGCTGAAACTGGAAGGAGTCAAAAAAAAAAAAAGAAAAAAAAGGAAACTCCCTTCCCTCCAAGTGCAGACATTGTGAAAATGTCCATCCAGTCTTCAGTCTGAATTCATATTCTATAAGGTAGGAAAAAAAGCTCGAGGTTTCAGATCTATGTGGAAGGAATGACTGCATTGTCTTTGCTCCATAAAACTCAAATCTTTCTGCACAGTTTTGGTTCCATGTATATTCATGGGAGTTTTTGTGTATGTGAGGGGGAAGAAAGAAAGAAAGAAAGAAAGAAAGAAAGAAAGAAAGAAAGAAAGAGTGTTTGGTTGACCTAAAACAAGTGGAAATTCCATTTTCCCTGCCTCTCCTCTCTGTCTCAACAGCTGGTCTCAGTCAGAATTTGACTTTTTTTTTTTTTTCTCAGGGTTTTTTCCAGCTATATGTGAGACTACATTGCCTGTATGTACCACCACTGCCAGTGCATTACCCTGATTTGTTTGATTTCCAGCAGTATGCGGCCCAGCTTTCCTTAAAACTCTGCAACACTCAACTCAATTCAACTCATGTTTAACTTTCTAAAACATATTCTTTCCATCGTAGGAATTATGGGAGGGAGGCAAAACGGAACGACTCTGGGCATCCAGTCAAGCGCAGATGGAATATGGAATCCACAGGATGGACCACCTGAGCTAACTAAACGAAGCCCACCTCAGGTATGCAAAAGGTGTCTGGCGTTTGCTATTTTGACTGGCACTAATCTCCCCACCTCACACATCTGCAGCTGAAAGATCCTCCTCTCTCTCTCCATGTCCTCCCCTCCGTCTGATCCCTCCATTCTGATCAGGCCCAGCTGCCTGGTCTTCTCCTTCCTCTCCTTCTCAAGCTTCGCTCTGATGTAGGGGGGAAGGAAAGTACAAAAATAAGAAGACTGAAAGGTTACTTTTATTCATTTGTGTGTCACCGTTTTTAAATCTGTCTGACAACTCTCTAAGCTTCTTTTTTTTCCCACCACGAACCGAGAGGGTTTTTCCACTAACTCACTCTCCTTCCTCATATATAGAGCAAGGAAGTTGGACGAAAGACAATAAAGGAGAGGTGTATTCTCCTTACAGGGTTATAAAACACTCTCTACCACTGTCAGAATGAGATCAAATGATAGCAGTAAAGTGCAAGTGCCTCAGTTCTGATTTCACATAAATGGAACAGAGAAGCGTCACAAGGGATCAGCTATTATCTTATTAACCTGTGCTGCTACGTCAACTTCTGTGACCCGGTGAAAGAAAAACATGTGACGTGATTGTGTTTAAGGAACCACATCTGTCTAATATGTCAGGTTCTTTGTTCTGAGGATAACAACAAGGCTTAAAGAAGAGGAAGATTACTACATACAATCCCATACTAAGCGGCTGTGTGAGTGTGAGTTAACAAAGCCAGGATGAGAGTTAATTACATTTTCACGTCGTAATCCTTCCAACTCTTCTCCATATGTTTCTTGAGCTCCTGTGGGAGAAAAGAAGAAGAAGAAGGAGAGAAGAGAAGAGAAGAGAAGAGAAGAGAAGAGAAGAGAAGAGAAGAGAAGAGAAGAGAAGAGAAGAGAAGAGAAGAGAAGAGAAGAGAAGNAAGAGAAGAGAAGAGAAGAGAAGAGAAGAGAAGAGAAGAGAAGAGAAGAGAAGAGAAGAGAAGAGAAGAGAAGAGAAGAGAAGAGAAGAGAAGAGACGCTGATTAATAACATACAAGTTGTTAATAGCACGCAGATGAAGCTATACTTCCTTGTGTACTGGTTATAATCTGACTGCCAGACAGACATGATTGCGCTTATTATGCCAACTCTTCTGCTATCTGGCCCAACAGGTTTTTGGTTGCCTTCCTTTGAAGTTACATTGAAGCAATGCTCAGCTGTCGAATCAGCTGTTTACAAGACAGGGCAGCAACAGGAGCTTACAGAAGCATTAGCCTGTATTACTCACAAGTCTGTTGGCATGGCAAATCAAAGTGCCAAATACTGGGCCAGAGAGATAAGTTCAGTACTGGAACCTTGCAAGGTGTTACTCATTAATCTGCATAAATAACATAATATTATCCGATATCTTAGTGGGCTCAGCAGTGACTACGCCACGGACAGACATCATTGTCATCTTAAAGAGGAAATCCAGCCTAAAAATAGATGTCTCGTTGTGATATTTGAATTATTTTGGACAATGCGGTCCAAATCTACTGACACAGACTCTGCTTAAGCCGAGCATAGCATCTTGAATACATCATGTCATTTCTTTGCCACTTGTTCTCTCTTAGAATACGAACTAGTGTCTGATTCTACAATTTTAGAGTGAATTATTACATTTTAGGCACACCAGTACAAATGTATTTTTGCCAAAAGTTTTATTTTTTTAATATAATAGAACCCATCCATACTGACCAACTAGAGCTTTACAGTGACTCTGTTGTCGTATTTCAAAAATAAAAATAATATAAACTGAGCTATAAAATATCATCGAACCTGATAATATTGTAGAAATCTTCTATATTATGGATTTTCCCTTTAAGGCAGCTACAGTGTCTCCATCCTCAAAAAAGTCAGCAATACCAGTTTTGCCTGCAGAATTTTAATTAGCATGTCATTTATCTGTAATAAAACCCTGACTCACTAGTCTGCCGTCCCGCAGTTCTGACTTCAGCACATTTTCCAGAGGAAATGCCATGATGTTGTTGAGGTTTTGCACCTGAAACATGTAAGAGAAGGGCAGAATGAGTACAGAAAGTTAAAATACTTCACTAAATGTCACAGATGGACCTTATCTACAGGTTGCAGTATGAGCAAACAATAACACGCGCACACACACGCACAGACACACACACACACACAGACACACACACACAGACACACACACACACACACAGACACACACACACACACACACACACACACACCCTATGGACTTTCATTTCTGGGAATGAGAATGAATAATCCAAAAACACTGTGATGCAGTCATTTTGAACAAGTCCGTCATGAAGGAAAACACTGGACATCACAATGATTTGCAGCATTACAGTTTTTGGATCCAAGCAGGAGCATGAGGCAATGACTTTAATCAAGTATTTTTGTGCGGTAAAGCATGAGTTGAGACAAATTTGGGGTTTGGATTGAGATGAGATTAACTCAGATCTGGGGGAGCAAATGAGTCACAAAAGCAGCATAGCCCCAACAGGTTGCATTTTACAGTAATATATAATTACCACTAATTCCCCCATGTAAGCACACCACATTATTTTGGCGAGCAGCCCGGCTACGTACATTATTCATCGCTTCCACATGTCTCCAGTTGACCATTGTCCAAATTTACAAAGTCTGTTTGCAAATGTCACTGCAGCCTTTTTTTTTTTTTTTTTTTTTTTAACGGATTCTGGTGAATAACAACCAAGCTGCACACTGCTCTTAACATAAATAATGTCGAACCACTTCCGTGAGTCGACTGCAGGGCTGACCTTGATATATTGACAAAGTAGCCTGGAGACTGGTAGGACTGTTTTGGTTGGCATCCAAACACTGAGGTAACTAGTAGATAATACATGGAGTTCTGACACAGGGGAATACCCTCTTCCAGTGTCAACATGTGTCCCGGTGACACAGATCAATGCGTGCTAATATACTTTTACAGAAACATGGCTCATGTCGGAGGACGACTTCTTAAATCCCCCTCCTGTTAGTCTTTTGGACTTTCTTCCTTTTTACATCTGTAAGGCTTCGTCTCCCCTGTGAGGCCCTGATTGACACATGGTAAGGAGCGTGTGAGACAGTGAATATGTGCGCACATGCCCACTGGAGGTCTGGGATGAATTATCATCGCCATAGAAACCATCAGTGGGAGGGTTCCGGGTTGCCCCAGTCTAAAGGAGGAAGCGTGCAGCTGTTGAAAACCCCCTTTCCTCCAAGCATCCATGTATTTCTTCAGCAACTGTGTTTATTCTGGCACAGTGAGCACGCACATACGTCTCATGGGGTCAGATTTGGGATTCTTCTACCTGCTGCTGTTTAAAATAAACTAATAAATTTTGCTGATTTACTTCTTTCCTTCTTAAATTCCCTCTCTGATCATCATTTAAACCCCTAAAAACTCACCTAAAGTTGTTCCCATGAAAACAATCCCCTAAGTGTTCACCTTTACCTCATTTAGAACTTGCAAAACTCCGAATGAAACCCCTGCTTCTTGCTCCACAAACCTCCTCGCCACTCGCTGCAGCTCGAGCACAACAGCTCACCTACAACTCTGCTCTAAAACTACTCTAAGCTACGGGATGGAAAGTTGTGACACTGGAGTAATTCATCCATACATGTTTGAATTAAACACCAGATTTAGATTTGTCGGCTGGGATAGGCTCCAGCCCCCCCGCGACCCTCGTGAGTGGTGTGTAGATAATGGATGGATTTAGATTTGTTGAAACCACACAAATCTTAATCTGTGTTTTCTAGAGAGTCACTGTTACACTGTAGTGTCAAGGCAGAAGTTGTATTTTACTCATGATGTGCCCTCTAATGCGCAAAAAACACCATATAAACATGCTAATGAGATTCAAAACTTTTCACCAGATTTTCAGCAGAGGAGGAACTTTTGTCTGTATAATCAATCCCTCCACTCTCAGTTTTAAGTCCCTTGTGGCTTAAAGTCTAATAAAGACATTTAGTTCCTCTCCTTCCCCTTTCCTTCTTTTTCCTCACCAGATTTTTGAAGAGGGCTGTGACCTCTCTGGTGAACACTGCCAAGTTAAGGAAGCCCGTGGAGACTTCATTGTTGTTCTGGGTGAGGTGGCTGTTCCCCAGGTTCTCCAGCACCTCGATATACAGCTCCTTGTTGTCTACATGCGCTGGAAACACAACACACATGCACACAAAGAATGAGCATTAAAAAAAAAAAGTGACTCACACTTAAGTTACATGTGCAGAAAATCTGAAAAAGACAGAGTGACTTGCACTGTTGCCTCGGCCCTTGGCAATATTTTAGCAAGACAAGCATGTGGCATGTGGGATAAATTAGTGCTGGTTTACACCCATCGTGGAGCAGGAGACAGGCAAACGCACAGAGAGCAATGTTTCACTTGGGCTCATAGGGCTCTTTCCCAGGGGTCATGACTTTTGCGGGCTCTAAGTCTGTTAAATTCATATGGAAAAGGGCAAAGAATCTGAGCAGCGCTTTGGTTTACATTTCACTAAACAAAGTTTGACTTTACAACTGTTTGAAAGTGGGGCTCAAATTATGAAAAATAAATACAGGTTACAATTCAAGAAAAAGGAAATTGTGATTTTCAACCTTATACAATGTAATGTAGCAGTAATGGAACATATGGACCCGGCAGCTGCAGAGGACTCAACACACAAAGCAGAAAGAGTAAAAACAGTAAGTTCATCTCTTCTGCTCCAGTTTCCACTTCAAGACAAACATAAACCGTCAAACTGACTGTAGATGGGAGACAGACTGACACAGTTAAAAGAACAGGCTAAAAGGCAAAAATTGAACATTTTCATGGCAGCAAAAAATTGTGAATTAAAGGAAGGAATACAGATATCCAGCAGGATGGAGAGGATAAAATCCAGGCGTATCAGTGAGACGGAGCTGCTGTGGTCGTATAGTCAGAAGAAAAAAACAAGTATTATAACAAACAACATACGCGCAACTATCAAGCAACAGACAGCTGAGTCACACAACAGCTCAGAGGATGATATTGCAACTGACCTTTAACTGCCAAATACCATCAGAGCAACTCAGCTCTTTTACTGCTCTGCCAGAACACACACAGACTCACAAGCCACAGCATCTTGGCAGAAAAGTGGTACTTAGTGTTTATGGGAAAAGAGAACGAAAGAAGAGAAAATCTCGACGTGCGTTTTTGTGTGTGCGACACAATAACAGGCCATCTAAGCAGTATGGGGGATGAGCTGGGCGGACCACTTAGCCTACATATGCTCAGAGTCAGATTGTTGATCCATGATTAACATCAGGACTGATTAAGGGGTTCACTGAAAGGAAGGCCCTCCCATTGGCACATTACTGGAACTAGCTCATATGATTCTACTTAGATACAGACGAAGAACTGGTAAAGGAGCGCAAAGTAAAAAGGGAATAATGATGGAGTTCTCTACAGATGTGTAGCGCTGCAGACCGGTTGCCTAATTCTGGGCAGCTGGCTCGCTGACTCACTTTTACTAAAAATGATGAGTGGAGGCCTCGATAGGAAGCAAGCTTGTAAGAAAGTTCAGAAAAACAACTACATGATATGTTGCGGTTCCTCTGTTTCTCCCGCGCACTTTTGAGGTGTACACTCACATATTACGCATTTGATAAATCCAATATAAAAGTGACGTGGATCTATGTGACACACACACACACACACACACACACACACACAAGCTCGAAAAACAATCAACTTAGACCCGCTGTTGCCAAAACCACACATACCATTTTCCTTAACAACACCACAAAACCATAGATGCTGTATTTTATATAAACACAATCACCCATCAACCCACACACTCTGCACCCATAACAAGGGGCCTCTGCTGCCCACACCAGCTTGATGATGTCATCTGAGCCCGGCTTGTACAATGAATTATGTGGAGGCCCCCATGTGCAGTGAACAGCTCATTCTGCCATAACAGAGGTTGACCTTAAAGGGAAAAGTAGTTTCACTTGTAGGGACAGAAATCATTCTTTGTGGATTTTACGTTTTAAAAAGTTGTAGTGTCTAATAAAGCGAACAAAATAATCTCAACTTAAGTCCAACATACTATGCTTTTGTTCAGTTTTTTTTCCCATATCATCTGTTACCCAACAAAGGTAGCAAGCAGACTTTTTCAGGGTGATCAAGGCTTGTGTTGTACTTCACACAATCACAAGCGCACACAGGAATAAATTAAATTTGCAAAGTGTACGCAAGGTCAGAAAACAATGAGCAATTTGGATCTGATTTGTAGTGAACATGTGCTTGACCCTCTGAACCCCAAGCAGTTTCATGGTTTTTTCTTGTCTGTTTCATTTTTCCTTCCTGAATTTTTCACTGCAGTATTAAGTCCTGCACCTCTATAGAAACAGCAAAAGCAATGCTAGAAGTAAAGAGAATTCAAAAAGGTATTTTGTGCAGTATACTAAAGTACAATGCCAGAAATCATTACAAAAAAAATGTGATTATTTATTTTGCAAAACTGAAAAAACTTGGAATACAACACATATGTTATCTCAAGTTCCCACAGCTGTTACCAATACTGGGAAAAAAAAGTTGACTGTACATACCATTGATATTTTAATGCTTACGTTTTTAATTATCTTTCATAGTCACAGCAGTCACACACGACTTCACAGTTGCACCAAGGAGCACAGAATTTTTTTTACTCCTGACTGAAACTGTTTTGTGTAAAGACTTTCTTTCTGGCATTTTTTTTTAAGAAGACATGTAGAATAAAGTGATTTTAATGAAAAATCACAATTTTAAGCTTAGATTTGGATAATTTCTCTTAAAAATAAGGATAAGTCTTATAAATGGTGCAATTATGGAGATTTTTTTTAAGGGCAACACGTCTTCCAAACCCACCAGTGGGTTTTCAAGAGGTAATATGTGCACACCAATCTGCAGTGCATGCATAAAAAAATGAGCTCCAAATAGATAAGAAACCAAAAATGCATTTGTGGTGTCCACAACTGTCTCTGTGCACACCCAGCAGTGAGTATAACCAGACCCTAAGTGTTTTACAGCTGAAAATTCTAAATAAAGCTTGTAGGAGGACTTGGGAGTGGAATTGTTTTCTGAGATTAGTGATGTATTATCTGAAAGAGACTACTGTATGTGATATACTGACACTTACAGAGTCCAGAGGTGTGTATGGCTTTGATCATCTTCTTCATCCTCTGCAGAGTTGTGTGGTCCATCTCCAGAGACTGCAATAAAACACAGACAAGGATAAGTGTGTGAATTCAAAAATCAGGTGTAAAAATAAAGAAGTGTGCATTTGAAAATGACTCTATCTTACAGATTGGCAAAATTTACCAGCTCCTGTATTGCACTATACGTAATTGCGTCATTAATATACCGTAATATAGCACATTTTCCAGATATCCAATTGCAAAGCTGTACCTATTTCATTTTCCCATGGTGTCTGACTAACAGGTGAGTAAGCATTTACACAGATGACACTTGCCGTACGTCACCTGTCATTTTTCAGTTCAACCATAACTTTTTCACACTGACACAACGTTGGGGTTTTTCTACTGGAAATAAAATCTGACACATGACGCAGACGTGAGGCAAACAGTCAAATGACTTCATTGTATTTGAACAATCAATCTCTTCCAAACCAAACAAGCTTTTTAAACTCCATCCTGTTTATTCTCCTCACACAGGCCACTTGTTTCAATGAGCTGCACTTGCGGCACTCCACCTACATGCCACCAGAAATAGCATTTAATGAGCCAGTGCTCCAGACTTAACAGAGACTCTGCCTTGTTCCATGGCGTTGTTTACACACCCCAGTCTCTCCCAGTTGAGTTCACTCCCTAAGTGTTAGCTCATTAATGAAAAGGCAGTGTGGGTGTTGCGTAAGCTGACACTACAGTCAGCGAATTGGAAAGTGATTTAGCGGAGATGGGAGTTGCTCATGGATGCTGCTGCTGCTGCTAGAGTTTCCTCGGCTTGTTGGCAGACAGTGGCGCAACAATGGAAACAAGCCAGTGCAGGTAAAGAGAACTGGTTGCGTTTGTTGAATTTATGTAACAAATCGAGGCAGAAGGACGCACAAATGCTCATCAGTCAAGAAAGACTGAGTCAAAACACCATACAGATATTTCTTCTGAAGAAAAAAAGACATTCCTCCCTTAAGTGTGCTTATGTTGAAATTACAGTGTCTTTTTACGGCGCCTCTTGCAGGATTGTGTTTACCTGCTATAAGGGTGTGTGTGCAACTTCTGGCAGCAGAGTTTAATATTTCATGACTAACTGATATGTGATATTTATCTACAGTATTCTGGATGTTAACGATAGAAGATCTGCTCTTAAAAACATTCCTGACATTGACATTAAGCCCATTATAGCTTTTAGATAGGAAATGAAACCATTCCTTGTTTCTGTCTGTCTTCCTTTATCATTGCCTCTAATTATGAGGATTCAATAACAAGCAGCCGAGTGTGTGTGGGGGTAAATGGTGTCTCTGTCTCCACGCTTGCTGCTGTAAACCACACACATGCCCACACATTATCCAAGCCATTAATCAAGCTTGGTGTTGCTGAGCAGATTAAACAGAAGAAGCAGATCTATCTATCTATAATGAGATTGTTGTATCTACATCTGTCTGGGTGCACATGTGTAGGATTCCAGTATGACCCTCCCCAAATTGCTATTCCAGCTATGTCACGGCCACGAAGAAGGACATGAGTCCAAGAGCAATGCAACAGACAGTTGTCTAAAACTGTTGTCTTTATAAACCGCGGATTATGCAGTCACTGTCTATGTTTAGAAGTCACGGTTTCTTTCCAGGGAAATCCCAAAGAACACCTTTTATCTCTCTCCAGCTATCTCTAAGGTTACTTGCATTTACAGGTGAGGTATCAGTTGCAGGCCGTCATTTGATATTTATGCAATATCAGGATATTCAGACAGGGATCAAGACTAAAGCCTGCATGACCTAAAGTATGCAAAGTTTTACCATGAATTATTGCACTTGAACAGCCACTGCATTGGAAATCATTTTTCAACATGATGTATTTCATTCCAGCAAAAATTCTCTTGGGTTTTCAACTTGTAAAAGAAAATCTATGGCGATTCAAACTGGTGGGACTCTAACCAAAAACACAGAGCCATCTGAGGTAACAGCAGAATGCTGATCCATAAAGTTTTGTCTCAAGGATTACAGACAAGGAACCACTGAGTGGCGTGCACACCCAGATTATTTGTTTTATGGTGGAGTTCACTGCAGTCTCCCTCTGTTTCCTCCTTTACCCGAGGAGCTTTGGGGGAAGAGATTTCAAACAAACACAAACGCACACATACAGAGATCTCAAACAAGTCTTGAGCTAAACCAACAGTTCAAACAAAATAGAAGGCACAAAATGGCCTTGGCGGACATGCTCGCAAACATGAACAAATATGTTTGTATGTGCTTACAAACACAAGCCCGATATCCAGGTCTGTCAATCGGCTTTGTGGCTCAGTTAGACAAGGCCAAGTAAACTCTCTGTAGGTTACATTACCTCATGTAACCTTCACTTTTTCTGCTATGCTGGCTGGGGCTGCACTGAATCACTGTGTATGTAGACATCCAACCGTACCTGAAGACTGTATACGTGCAGCACATAGAGAAAAGATAGAAACATTTTCAAGATGCACCCATGACACCCAAAATGCAGCACACCACAAGCATCCATATCTAAAACCCAACACTAGTTTTTCCTGAGAGTAGCATCTTCCATCAACTCCTCTGTCCATGTGTCCATTTGCAGATTTTTTAAAATTTGGCACAGAGGTCTCCAAGTTTACCTCAGGCAACTGCTCACAAGGAAACAATGCGTATGTGGGGCTAATTTACAATATAGATAAGTTGTAATGCTTTATCCAAATACACAGGCAAAAAAAGAAAAGAAAAGAAGATAGTGAGCAGGTGAAGGTAAGGCATTTCTTCTGCCAGACCTTCTACGGACAGTTAAACAACAGACTAAGGTGCATACGTCTCCCTGCACCAACTTCCCACTTTGCTCCTCTCTCACCTCTTCCACGTTTGAAACCGTGTTCCGACAGTCACTCATTTTGGACTGGAAGCTGGAAGTCCCCGGCGAAGACAAATCCTCGTTTGTCAGGACGACGAAGTCCGAAATACTCAACTGCTCCGGCATGTTTCGAGCGAAACGACAGTCACTGAGGAGAAAAGTGGGCCAAAGTTTCAAGCGCGCAAGTAACTCCCATTTGAAGAAAGAAAGAAAAAGAGCAGTATCTCTCTCACTTCCTTGTGTGGAAAAGAGAAGCTGTAAGTATTTCCCAGCACGTAGATTCCTTTGAGCTGCGTCTTAAAGGCGGAAATTTGACCAAAACCAGACCTGACCGAGTTTAGCCTGTGCTCCGCGAGTGTGTGCGCATGGAGGTGCACCAGCGCGCTATTGTGCGCAAAGTGAGGGAGGGAGCAGCTCAGTCCATCATCACGTGGGAATGTTTGTGCTTTCTGGCACACTGGAGGGAGAAAAGGGTGTGTACGTGTGTGTGTGTCTTTGCCCTCGTCCCTTTCATTAATACTTCTCATTTCTATGCAAACTCCAGAGAGTCTGGGTTGTGGTCGCCATGGATATGCAGAATGCCTCATTCATCGGCTAAACTGAAGGGGAGGAATTTCAGTGGATGAGGTGATGCAGGCGCTGAGGGACAGAGGAATGCAGTGAGGTAGACACGTACAAGTCATGAAGTGCCACCGAATAATGCTGAACGATCTGTAAAAGACCCTGCTAGATGAAAAAAAAAGCAGTTTTATGTTAAGTTCTCACTCAAATTACACTTAAATAGCTGTATATATTCCTCACATGTCAAGCAAGGGGTTCTTCAGCTGCAAGAAAGTTTCAGTTGTTATGTGCACTAGCCTTTAATCAGGAGTTTGGAGTTGTTCTGCCTCATTGGAACTTTGCACCTTGATCCTTTTGGCCGAGGCTCCAAAGCTCCTTCTTCTTCCTTTTCATCTCATGAAGAGGCATTTTTCATTGAGGGAGGATTTCTGAAATCCCTCCCAACTGACATTTCCTGAAATCATCCCACAAAGTCAAAGAAAATGCAACAGAGAGAGAGAGAGAGAGAGGGGGGGGGAAGCCAAGAGTTGCTTATACAACGTAAGTCCTGCATGCCTGGCATTGTCGACCCTGTCAACTCAAAGAAAAGAGGTGTATCAGTAAACCTTGCCCCAGGGTGAGCAGTGATACAATGAAGTGCAGATGGGTGATTTTGGGAAGCCGCATCAAACACAGTGGCTGCCTTCACCACAAAACCGCATATTTGCCTACATTATCTATATAAAAGGAAACAGTGAATTAGTTCCAGCTTAACGGGCAACTTGAGGTTATCTCATTCAAGGAAAAATAGACTCGCTCTGTGGTTAAAGGCTTCTGTGTGTTCTCTGTTACTACTTATTACTGCCATTCTGTGAACACAGTGAAGAATGGCTGTTGTGTCTTAACTGCGCGCTCAGTGATGCTGTGTTTACATCCACAAAGATGGACAAGGTTCTTTAGTGCTGCAACTCTTTTCAACCGGACAATAAATCAGACACACCAAAATGCACACCATTTGATATCACTGTTGTGTTGTAGCTGCATTCTCACATGCTCAGCTGAAAGGAGTGGAAGTGAAAATTCCACGGGAGGCAAAACAAATAGCTCTACGCAAAGAAAAGGCAATGCACAGTTCAACATGTGCGCCAGTGCCCCCAGAAGAAAACAGTAAAACTCTCACTTAAACCTATTAATCATTACTGAAAAGCTTCCACCCGTTCAAGGAAGTGAGGGCACGCGACAAATAGAACCATATAAATATGTTTGGTGACCCAGTTTAGCAGGGCCTCATTCACTCATTGTTACATGAGTGAGGGGGGGAGAAAATATAGACCGCTTGCATGCATACATGTGCTATTGTGATATCTGTGCACCATATGTCGTCACCTTAGAATGATATAGTTCTATCTGCGTTCTCAGTAGTTCTGAGATATTTACGTTTAAAGTTTTGACTGCTCACATAGTCAGAATGAAATGAACATTAAATTGTGTTAATGCTTGAGAACTATAGGCACACTAAAGAGAGTCTAAATGTGTAATTTGAAATTATTTGAAAATGTATAAGTGGGAGTTTTGGAAGTGGGTGTTTTGCAGATAGAACTTTCTAATTCTGAAAAAGCCCATTTCATTTGGAATTATAAAGTTCTATCTGCAGAACACGTTAAAACAATAACTTGTGCTCCAGAACTCAAATAATTTTAAACAAACAACTATTTTTAACATTAAAGTGCATTTCCAAGATTTTATTTTTCACTTTTTTATCATTATCAACAAATATGTTGGAGTTCAGCTGGACAACAGACTAGACTGGAAATGCAACACTGACTACATCTACAAGAAAG